CAACCCGGACCACCGTCCCGATACTGCTGCCCTCATCAATTTGCCGATCATCCGCTTGATGCGCAAAGAGAAGGAAATTACCGATTTGTCCAGGACACTCCGCAAGCGTGAAGAGAGCGCCTTGCAAAAGGTTCGGGACATTGAGCAGGCCTACGCCAAACTCGAGAAAGAAAAACAACAAATGAAAGTTGAGCTTGAGAATACTGTGCGCCGCGAGTGGGAAGTGAAAGCCAGACTTGAAATCGATCGTCAAGTGCAGAACGAGATAGAAAAGCTCCGCAAGAGATTTGAGTGCGAAGTTCAGGAGCGAGTTGCAATTGAGGTAGAGAAGCAAAAGCGAAATATGGTTGTTCGCGAGGAGTCTAGCGACGACTCCCGGCTCTCCATGAGCAACAACGACACCGAACAGCCTTCTGGTACTGACATCAGCAATCTATCGCTGGAATCACCTGCTGCAAGCAAGGCACAACGGAAGGAAACTCGCACCCCCTTCAACCGCTCAAAGACCGTGGTCGAATCGCCTATGGATGTCCAGATGGCCGAGCCTTCCCCTATTTCCATTGCATCACTCTCTTTGTCCCCGCGTCGGACATCTGGGACCCATTCCGGCAAGAACATCTTCGCGGAGGCCGAGAAAAACCGCACGAAGTGGGAACCTACCCTGGCTTACTCTGATGATGAAGATGACATCCCCGATTTACCTTCTCCAACACGCCCCAAGGTCAAGCCTGATCCCTTCAAGGCTCCGCCCAGGCCCCTTCTCCGTCAGAACACCGCTGCTTTCATGCAGAAGCTGAGCACTCAGCCTCCCATCTTTCCCACCAATGGGTCAAGACTGCCGCAGATGTCATCTGGTGGATCTGGCGACAACCAGCAGAGGGAAGCCAAATCACGATCGCCTCACCGACGTTTGTCCAAAATCCCGTCATCAGCAAATCTGGCTGCCGATGCTGGCTCACCCACGCGCAAGACAGGCATCAAGCAATTAGCCTCAAAGGCGAACGGAGGCGGGGAGGAGATGTACAAAGCCGTCATGCAACGCAACATGGGCGGTCGAACCTTGGTTGAATTGGCACAGGCGCGTGCTGGCGGCCGTCCCATCGACGAAATCAAGCGGTGTGCGAGTGATCCCCGCACCGGGCTGAAACCGACAGAGCGCGATTCTCCAGCTGTTTGGGATCCCGAGAGGGACGAGATGCCCAGTCCCTTCTTGGCCCGGGGAAGAAAAGTTATCCGCAACCTGAGGTGATTCCAATCGCGCTTTTCACCCGGGCGACATTCAGATATTGCCACCATTTCTCATACACATAGTAACTGCGTGCTTCTTGCTGGTTGATCCACGGGAGTAGCTGCAGTAGGCTTTTGGGTATCTCCCTCGAGGACATCTCCTCACCTCACCATATCTACTATTAATAGTCGAAACATATTCCGGAGTTACGGCTGGTGGATTATCTCAAAGACCAACGTTGGCCATGCCAGTCATGGGACGTGGATGCATTTTGTTGCGCCGCATTGTCGTTAATCCTATCTCACCAAGATCTTCACTTTCCTTTGTTCTCTAATGCCGTGATGCCCCTGTTGTTTGATCTTCACTTCACTTCTCGACTTGTACAGATATTACATTTGACATCTCCCGTTTGGATTACTGCTACTGAAAGACACCTTGGTGATTCGACGCGATTCTGATTCAGCTTTTGATGATTCGAGCCTTTTTACCACGGCCTTTCCCCAAGATATCCTCTGCCACACTCTTTTGAACCTCACATTTCCTTTCCGCCCCCATTCTAATGGTGTTTCACGGTTGGTGTTTATTTGGTGAATCATGGGCTACATATGGTATGGGAAGGGCTCCTGTGTACATACCAATTGGGTTTTCTTTCATAAGTTCTGCAATGGCAGACTTTTCTTTGAATTCTGTCATCTCACTCCAATATTTCAAATTGGTGCATATGTCCGAAGTTAACTCGTGACCAAAAATAGCTTGTTTGGAAATTCAACTGTCGATGGACGGGTGATTTTGAAATTTGATGTTTAATTTCTTTTCGTATCGCATCGAGTTATAGGTACATTGATTTGAGATCCGACTAACGCCTCGTAAGATCCTAATCATGGGGTGACGGGTTACGGGTCAGATTGATTATTATGCTTCCTCATCCTCCACCTCTTCGATCTGCACAGACCGAAGCTCCTGATTGAACCGCCGCTCCTCCTCCTCGAGTCTGCGTTGAGCGTCCTCATCATCAGCAGCTGGTGCAGCTGACGAAGCTTTCTCTTCGCCTTCTGCAGGTCCGGCATTATACCCTGCTTGCTCCAGCCGATCCATCTCCTCCGGTTCCAAGAGCTTGCCTTGTCCCCGTATAGCTTCCTGTTTGACCCTGACAGCTGCAGGAACGAACTTATTGATCGCCTCTTGTCGGAGATTCCTGATCTCCGGCTTGGCCTCGTACACAGTCTTCGCTTCAACGACGGGCGGTTTCGCCGGAAGAGCGTGCGGGCCCCGACCACCACCACCTGCAGCTTCTCCTCCTGGCCCTCCTTTCCGATACTGTCGCGGGATAGGCGGAGGCGTATCCCTCGGCATGGGTATCCTTCTCACCTCCTCATCTGTCTCGTCGCTACTACTACTCCCGTCATCACCATCGTGCCTAAACCGGTTGCCGTCGCCGCCATCTCGCCTGCGTTTGCCTAAGACTGCAGCATCCCCGCGTCCTCGGTGCTGACCGCCTCGTCTAGATTCAAAGTTGTCGAATTTGGGTGCCTTATCGCCCAACGCTTCTCTGGCCTTCTGCACGGCGCGCAGATCACGTTCCAGGGCTTCCAGAAGCTCCTGATCGCGGGGTCGTAGCTTTTGTCCTGATTCTTCGAATGCTTTGAGGTCGTTGATTTGTCGTTGGATGCGCTCGGGGTTGCGACGCGCTAGTTTCTCGTTTCGTCGGGCTTGCGCTTCGGCTTTGCCTTTTTTGAGACTCTTTTGTTTGTCGAGTTTGCGTTGCGCCGCCGCGGGGTTTAAGCTGCGTTCTTTGTCTTTGGGCATGGTGGGTGATGGGTTGGGGAGGGTGAAGTTGAGGTGTGAGGTGGATGGATAGGGCGTCAATTACTCCACGGGGATGGGTATTGTTCCGGCTGTCTGTTTAGGCACTATGTGGGTACTAGATGATTTGATTTCTTAATGTCAGTCAGTCAGATCCAATCTCACGTATCAATGTATTTCTTTGTAATCTGGATCTTGAATTGTCGGGGATGAGGGGGCAGGCTTGGGTATGACGAGCTCCGGAGGCTGTATGGCCATCAGGAAGCTCCTGCAGCAGACTAAGCTATGGGGAATGAGAAAGAAAGGTGCTCACAGGCTAATAGCTAACCAAGCTGCATGGGAAAGCCAACCACGGGCGCAGCGGATTCGCGAAGCCGACTGTAGCTGCGGAACCTTGACCCAAGACCAATAATATCAAGGTCACGACAACCTAGGGCGCAAGGCTCAAGCCTCACGGGTTGGGCAGCGCAACGAGTCTTACTCTTTCCTTTTGCCGAATAACGAGGAGGCCCAGTAGTCGGCCTGAAGTATGGGGTGTGTGGATGCCGGCGTCGTCGATGGCGGTTGAAGAAGCGCTTGGTGCGGCAATTCGGAGGAGATGGTTGGTGAGGTGCTTTTGTCAGCTGTACGGACGCAGAGCACAGATAGGGCTTGAGGGGAAATTGATTGGAGATTAAGAGTCGCCTCGGTAGAAGGATTCGAGTAGGATAATATGAAGGTGGTAACAAGATGATTGGGTGCCTGAGAGGGGAGGAACGGTGGAGTGGGAGAAGAGCGTTTGGAGAAGGACGCGATGCCGTCAAAATTGCGGGCGGGCGAAGTTGAGAGAGTTCCTTGCCTGTTTGGGGGTCACGCTCCCTCCCTTTCTTTCCAACACTGCCGTTCGTCCAACAATCGGATGATCCTGGTTGACTTTCGCTTTCAAATGGATTGATCGATTGGTGTAGTACTATATCCTGAGTTGATTGTCAGTCGATTGCAAGTCAGTGGAATTAAGTATATCGCATCAGCCAATCTTTCCCGTGTCGGTCAGGATATTGTTCGGTATAGAAGGTCACCCCCGACTGCTGCTACTACACCATCACAAGTACCTCCTCTCCAAGATTCAGGTACCCAAGGATCAATGAGGAGAACAGGAACGTCTGTAGAATGAGATACGGTGCATAAAAAGACCCCCACGGCCTGGTCTACTTACCAACTGTCCTAAATCTTATCATTCTCATCGTTGCTTCTTCCTGTTCAACCTTGTCAGTTGTGTTTCCCCTCCGAACGGGTTCCCGCACCTCCATCTTTTCTATCTACACTATCCTCCTACTAGTACAACCTCTCTCTTCCTTGTATTCGCCCGCGACAATTTTTGCTCGCTCCTCCTCCTCCTCTCCTCCTCCTCCTCCACATTCCAGCCAACTTCCGAGGCTGACCACTGGCCCGTTCGTCTTGAATCGCTCGTGCCAGGCTCCTCCTTGAAGGTCAAATCAATAGCATTGTCGCCCGTCAGTGTAACCCCCGACCGACTCACGGGGGCTACTTTCTTCGTTCCTTTTTCTCTGTCACCAACGATCCAATTATCGAGCCTTGTCCCCTCTCTGGCTTCCCTCCTTTGACTTCCAATGATACCTTAATTATTTCTCTCAACGGGATTATCATCCACTTCGGGGAACTGACAAGACTCCGCCCATTGACCGGGTCTTGATCTGTTTCCTCTTTCCCTTCTTCCCTCCCCCCCTCCATCTCATCCCACGGGTCGTGTCTATCCTTGCCTGTTTTCACCTACGACATTTCTCTCTTCCCTCCTTTTCTCCCGGCTCTTCTTATACTTCCCCTCTCAGACGCTCGTTCACGAGATCTCCCTCACCTGCGCATTTCGGTTCTCATCATGAACTTCGGTTCGTTCAATCTCCCCACCACGAGATCGACCGGCGCTTCCTAGACTGTTGTCGCGGTAGGAGCATGTCTCTGCCGGGACCAAATGTCCGTATCAGCCTCGATTCCCGACACTTCGCTTGGCCTCACCTCCTCCGAGATCCAAATTCTGAGGCAACAACAACAAATAGCGCTGCAGGGCGGCCACGGTGCCAATGGTGTTTCCAGGGGCCGAGGGACCGGACGCACCAGCAACTCCAGTTCGCGCGCCGCCAGTGCCGCCAGCAGCCACGGTCGTTTAATTCTGGATCCCATGAGCCTACGGGCGCTATCGCAGCAGTTGGATGGTTTGCAACAACAGATTCGCAATCGCCTTGATGATGTAGGTGCTGCGCTTTCTTCATCATTCTCTATATCTCGTTGGAGGTCCACTCCTCTGCTGTTCCGTTGTTTCCCCTTTGATATTGTCTGCTACAGTGGCCCTGGCTAGCTTTGCTTCCCTTCAATACCCCTCCTGATGATCGCCTAATATTTCGACACTAACACATAGTAGCTGGAAGAGCAAATGCAGATATCTATCCAAAGCACTTACGATCGCGCCGGCAACGTCATTCGCAACGCTGATGCTGAGATTGCCCGTACCCGTTCCATTCTAGCCTCAATTGACGACTTGGAGAATGAGCTTGCGAAGATCGGGCATATTAGAGAAATCGTGAAAGCGTATCGTGGACGTATAGAAGGTCTCGATCAACGCCTGGATCAAGCCGCCCGCCGGAGACACTGAGATGCCAACCCTCACGATATCTTCCTGTCCACACTCCAACACACCTTATACTCCTGAACTTCAACCCTCAAATCTTTCTTTCTACTCGGATTACCCTAGCGCCATTACATAGTCATTCTGCCCCGGAGGCTTCCCTATATTCGAATTTCCTCTATCGGTTGACGACCCCACGGTTGCTTATACGCACCGTTACTCGTCTACCCTTCACTGCGACCTCGGAGGTCGACGACGGTCATTGCAAAAGTAAAAACTATCCACAAAACGACGGACGAGCCACACTGTGCTCGACCGACGAACAAATATGTGTTCATAAACCAGTTGTGTCCTCGCGGACCTTGTGTTATTATAACTATGCTGCCCAACGTTCTTCATGCTGATTCTGATTCTCATCGCAGAGGCAAGGGTTGCTTTTTGCTCTTTTACCTTCGTCTGTGTATTTGGAGAGGACTGCTGTTTAAAGATCGGGATATCGGCCTCGCGGCTATTATTGGCTTCCAAAACTACCCTAAAATGCCAGGGTAATAAGGTGTTGATAGCGTTGGTATACCTCTGCATTTATCGTCTACTTGGAGTGCGACTCCCTCTCATCTCATGATTCACGTGTTCACTCTACGAAGTTGATGACGCCGCTGTTCTTCTATCATGTTTCGATTCCCCGACGAGCATCTATCCTGTCTGTTTTGTTTTGACTGAGCGGAATCCATTTGCAATGATATCACCTGTGTTTATGTTCGTTGAAATCTGTTATTGAATGTCAGCTGCCGAAAGCAACCTGTACCATGGTCTGTCAATACCGGTTGACGACCTAACCATCAGGCAGCCTGAAGCATGTACCCCTTTGATCAGTCACCGCCTGATATGTCCAAGAGGATACCCGGATGTGGAAGCTTCAGCGGCAAGTGTTGTATGTAAATATATTGTCCTTCTTTCGTTGACTTTCTCAATGAATTTCTGCGCCTACAAGGCCTTGTCGATATGTGGTGGACATCTCATCTCCTGCGCCAAATACTATCGGGCCTGCTGCGTGTGACGCGCGCCCAGTGCTCATTCATCTCCCGAGTTGTGGTGCCATACGTATTTACACCAGAGTACACAGATGTTTATTTACTGCGTAGAAACCTCTTCGCCCTCGCCCCCATCATGCCGGTGGATATCGTTTCCGGTTCCAAAGGCTGTAGATAGGTCAACAGCCAGGACCGGTTGATCCATGAGGGTGGGCTACTTCGCATCTGCTGCAAATTGAGGGTAGGCGACTGACGATGCAGGGCAGATGTAAGGTGGGATATCGGATATTCGTGATATGTGGTCAAGCACCCGCCATCACTTCATCCTTTTGCTCCTCCTTGGACGCTTCTTTCCGACGCTCAGACAACTTCTTACTCCGCTTGTCCGTTTGAGGGAAGCGCTTTTCCGTCCCACACGTAGAACAGCAGACAACTAGAACATCCGCCCATGGCTTCTTGCGGCCGCGGCTGGCGTTTCTGATGTCCTGCGTGCAGGTTACTCCAGGAATTAGAAACGTGTCGCAGCGCTTGCAGAAAGACCTCTTGACGTCGATGGGTAGTCGGAGCTGTGACTTGAGAGAGACACCGCGCATTTGCGACATATAGACTCGAGAGAGTTGAGGCAGTCGCTGTGTCGTCGATAGATTAATCGGCTTAGTCGGCTCATTCGCCGGCGAAACATCAAATTCCACCATTTGCGGTACTATGCGCTCCGTTCCTTGCAATTTGGCGCCATCTTCTGCTTCATCCATTTGATCGTTTTGTTGACTGGCGGACAGCTTTTGCGGGGATGGTTTCCCTATTGATTGTAGAAAAGTGGCCGCGTTGTAGAGATAATCGATCCGTGCGCGAATGTGGCTGTGCGCACCACCAGCAGAATCTTTCTTGCCCTTGGCTTTGGCTTTAGCCATGATGGAGAGGCATGTAATCAAGTTGAAGTATGTGAAAAGAAATTAATTCACATGGAGGCAGCGGGGGAGTCTAAGCTTCTCGAGCAGCCGTCCGGCACTAACCCGATGCGGCAAGGAAGTTGGCCGCCGGTGACTAATGGACTCCATTCACGTGACTGTGATCTCGGAGGCTCAGCCGCTTCCATCCCTTCGCGCGTCGACAACCTTCTCTTCATCTCCATCGTCTTCCTTCGCGCTTCGACCTTTCCCATCCTCAATTCATCTCACAACAGTTACGAGGAGGATTTCGCATCGTCTTCGAACTAGATATTCGGCTTGCATAGCTTTTCACCCCCCGTTTTAATCTTAACGACATCTACCCAGGCTCGATTGCCTTGGGATAAGACGCGACAACAACAGAGTTTTCTCGAATTCTTCCTTGATCAACACCATCCATCACCATGTCTCACGAAGAGGATCTCATCGACTACTCCGACGAGGAGCTTCAGACCACTGACGCGGCGGCCACCACCGCTGCCCCCGCCTCTAACGGAGAGGCTAAGAAGGGCGACTTGACGGTTTCTGGCGGCCGTCCGGACAAGAAGGGTAGTTACGTCGGTATTCATTCGACCGGTTTCCGCGACTTTTTGCTCAAAGAGGAACTCCTACGTGCCATCACCGATTGCGGTTTCGAACATCCATCGGAGGGTTAGTCTATCACGTATTCTTTCCCAAAGCTCCCTCCATTGCTCCATGTTCCAACGTCCGTCCATCTCCGCGGGGGAAAATCCATAGTCGTTCTGGGGCGCCCATTTCGCCTCCGCTTGCGGGCGGCATGAGGATGTCTGTTTCGCGTCATACATAAGACGAGTCGCCCTGCGGCAGTAGTGCATCTACAGCCTTATGCTTGTTTGCTTCACTTTACTCTGGTGAATTACGGCAACACCATGCTCAGGGGATACCACAGATTGGTTTGTTCGCCTGCAGAGATTCTGAACGAATCGTGGTTTGCTTCCGAAGAACACGGGTCGGACGCTTCTCCACCGTTCTCTGAATTGCAGCCGTCCTCCTGCCGCCTGCGGAAAAGAGCTCTGAACAAGATGTCTTACTGCAGCTGACACAATTTTCGACTGTGTGCAAGTTCATTTGACTTTTGTTGTTTGGTGGAAGAACATACGGGACTATAATGCATCCCTTCGGACTCAAAACCTCGGGGATGGACGGACGCTGCGACGCGAATTGCTTTTTCTCTTTCTCAAAACTTATGGGTCGAGTACAAGTCTAACATACGGTTCCGCCTCACTACAGTCCAGCAAGTCTGCATTCCTACCGCTATCCTGAACGTCGATGTTCTCTGCCAGGCCAAGTCTGGTCTCGGAAAGACCGCGGTCTTCGTTTTGACCACCCTGCACCAGCTGGAGCCGGTTCCTGGCGAGTGCTCTATCCTTGTTATGTGCCACACCCGCGAGTTGGCATACCAGATCAAGAACGAGTACGCTCGTTTCAGCAAGTACCTTCCCGATGTCAAGACTGCCGTCTTCTACGGAGGTACCCCCATCCAGAAGGACGTTGAGTTGCTCTCCAACAAGGAGTCCTACCCCAACATTGTTGTCGGTACTCCCGGTCGTCTGAACGCCCTGGTCCGCGACAAGAAGCTTTCTCTGCGCAACGTCAAGGCTTTCGTTCTCGATGAGTGTGATAAGATGCTGGACCAGATTGGTGAGTTTATTTGCGTCAGGTTATCTTACGTTGTACTGATGATTTGTTATAGACATGCGTCGTGATGTCCAGGAGATTTTCCGTGCCACCCCTGCCGACAAGCAGGTCATGATGTTCAGTGCCACTCTTTCTCAGGATATCCGCCCCGTGTGCAAGAAGTTCATGAGGAACCCTCTCGAGGTCTACGTCGATGACGACACGAAGCTTACGCTGCACGGTCTGCAGCAATACTACATCAAGCTCAGCGAGGCGGAGAAGAACCGCAAGCTGAACGAGCTCCTGGACAGCCTGGAGTTCAACCAGGTTATCATCTTCGTTAAGAGCACCCTGCGTGCGAATGAGCTCGACAAGCTGTTGCGCGAGTGCAACTTCCCCAGTATCGCAGTGCACTCTGGTGTCAGCCAGGAGGAGCGGTAAGAATACTCATTGCCCATGTCGTTGGCTATGCACTAACGGTTGGTAGTATCAAACGCTACAAGGAGTTCAAGGAATTCAACAAGCGTATCTGTGTCGCCACTGACGTGTTCGGACGTGGTATCGATATTGAGCGTATCAACCTTGCCATCAACTACGACTTGCCGGCTGATGCTGACTCCTACCTGCACCGTGTCGGTCGTGCGGGTCGTTTCGGTACCAAGGGTCTGTCGATCTCCTTCGTCAGCACCGAGGATGACGAGAAGGTGCTCAAGGATATTGAGAAGCGCTTCGAGGTTGCCCTTCCGTAAGTACAGACCGATGTTTACGAGCATGTGAACGAAGCTAATGAGTACTAGTGAATACCCCGAGGGCGGTGTTGACTCGAGCACCTACATGGCCTAGATGATTGGGCCTGTGCTCGCCGGAACAGTATGTAGCAGGAGAAATTGAGTTGAATTTTATCGCAGGTTTTTCGTCTTCGGTTTCCTTGTTTCCTTTGGCGTGATGGTTCGGTTGCTATTTAACATGTCGCTTTCTGGGAGGCACTGGTAGGGAAGGGAACATCTGGAGGATAAAAAGCGTACTAAATGATAAGGATAATAACTAGATGCCTGGGATGTGTCTTGGGCCAGTGCCTCTTAGCATGACAGTGTATTATCAAATGTTGCGATTATTTTGATTAGGACTGCTGCTTCAGATTGACTCAGATGTGAGCCAGTAGCCAGTAGCTAGTAGGATTCTACATGGTGTCACACCCCATCCATATCATAAGCAAACAAAGAAACGAACACCTCCAATGCAACATAGACAGCCCATCCACACCCGGAACCCCCACCCTATCGATAAGACCGAACAAGCGAAGACCCCCAAGATCCCATCTCACTCACCGACCCAAAACCTATGACGCAACCAGCCCAGCCAGCTCAACCCTCCCCACTACTGACCACCAAGTCAATCAGATCTCATTCTCTACTACACACCTAACACAGACACTCAATTTCCCCTCCCCAAACCCCATACCCCAACAAAAATCTTAAAGAGATAGATAAGAAAAATGACCCCCCGATGCTTCATAATCCGCCACGGCGAAACCTCCTGGTCCCTGAACGGCCGACACACAGGCACGACAGACCTGCCACTGACCGAAAACGGCGAGAAACGGATAAAAGCCACGGGGAAGGCGTTGGTCGGGAATGATCGGTTGATTGTGCCGAGGAAGTTGGTTCATGTGTATGACCCCGCCACCCTATCTTTTTTGTATTTGTGATGAATGGATGAATAGCGTGTCATTGAGATACTGATGGTGTGTGGGTGATGATGTAGGTATGTATCGCCGCGCGCACGGGCCCAACGGACCCTCGAACTACTCGAAATCGGATGCAGGGAGAGATTACCCTGGAATGAGGCGCGGAAGTCTGAGGATGAGGAGCCGATACGTACGGAGGCGAGGGTGGAAGTTACGGAGGCTGTGAGGGAGTGGGATTATGGGGAGTATGAGGGGTTGACTAGTAAGCAGATTCGGGAGATGAGGAGGGAGAAGGGGGAGGGGGAGTGGGATATTTGGAGGGATGGGTGTCCTGGGGGAGAGTATGTTTATATCCTTCATTCTTTGTTCTATCCTTGGTTGATTGATGGATTATGTATGGGTGGGTATGCATTGAACAGCTAAGCTAACTGACATCGGTACCACTAGATCCCCCGAAGACGTGATCAAGCGTCTGGACGCAGTGATCGCAGAGATCAGAGAAAAGTTCCACAAGCCCTGTTTCGACGGTGACTCTGCTTCTTCCACGGGCAAGGGCGATGTTCTCATCGTAGCTCACGGTCATATCCTGCGTGCGTTTGCGATGCGGTGGACGGGAAAACCGTTGACGGAGACGGCGCTGATTTTGGAAGCCGGTGGTGTGGGCACGCTGAGGTGAGTATACCATACCCATACCCTCTGGGTGTTTGTTTCCTGTGCATGTTGCTGACTAACTGACTCTCCCACGCCAGCTATGAGCACCACAATATCGATGAGCCGGCTATCATTCTCGGTGGAGGGTTCGTAGTCGATAGCTGAGATGGCTGACTACCTGTAGAGAATCTCATGGTTAGCAAATAGAACGAGAGAGAGTCAATAGAGAATAGTTAAACACTCACTTTACTAATACCCTTGTGCCAATTAATCCATAACACATCCATGATGAAAGGTTCTGAGAACCCCCAAATATCTTCTCCCCTCAACCCTCTCTTTTTTCCTCATCACCAGCACTATCTCCCTTAACGCCCTCCTCTCCCAACACCTTCGCAGACCCCATAAACAATGCGCCAACATACCCGCCCAGGAAACGCATATCCTCGGCCTGCACGGCTGTCATCCTGAGCAGATTCTCCGTGTCCCGGAGGTTAGCGTTCAGTTGCTCGAGTTGATTATGCAGGTTGGTGTACTGGCGCGTCTTGGCCATCGACATGGAGGAGCTGCCCATGGAGGAAGGGCCGGCGGTGGTGGAGGCGGGGAGGATGGAGTGTCGGGGGAGGGATTGGGAGTGGGTGTATTGGTGGGAGGGCATTTTTGTTCCTTGTCGATAGTATGTTGAGCGCTATATTGGGTTGGCTGGGTGTACTCGGTGAGGTGAGTTGTAATGGTGATGTGTTAGAGAAGGTAATGGGAGAAGCTGCAGGTAGAGGGGATTTGTTTACCCCCGCGGTCCTGTAGGTCACGTGCATGTGCCTCCGGCAACAATCACAACTATCATCGTATACCATCAAACTATTCCATTCATCATACAAGTTATACTATTACTGTTGCAACCGATTAAGTCTCGTTTATTGTCAACATGTTCTAATCAATGGAGCAGTTGCCGCGCCGACATTTCCGACGCAGTTCCTCTCGCTAACACCCGGTAGGAACATGAACCCAGCCAAATCAAATCAATCAATCAACAGAATAAATCAACCCCTTGCTCTTTTTATGCGCCAGAAACCGGACCATGAATGAGAAAGATGACAGGGTGGTGGGATGTTCGCGCCAGAGCCCATACATAACAGCACAGAACAGCTATGGAAGGAGACGGCCAAGGAAATCAAGTCAAAGGAGGGCATGCGTGTCAAACAAAGCAGCGGAGATGGTAGGGAATAGACAATAGGACGATGCGCCGAGCTAGGTAGTGTACAACACTGGGTCTTGCAGAAACAAGGCATGTATGGTGTGCGTCTGGCAATGAACGTCGGTGGTATAGCTGTGGAAAGTCAAAAGAACGTATTTATCTGGTGGAGCTTCATGCTCATGCTCATTAATGTTCGAGAATGCCGTGCAACTTGAGAGGAAAAGGAAAAAGAGATAATCAAAGTCAAGGCAAATCACCACATGCAACAATCATGCATGCACGCACGCACGCGCCCGCCCGACCACTCCGTAGTGGAAATCATCAAACGAGAAAGTGAGAAAGTGAAAGCCCCTATGTCCCTTGGTGTATATGTAAGAAAGCCGCAAACAACAGACAATTGACATGGAGTCTGTGCCCACCCTCCTTGCCAAAGCATCTCATTAAAAGTATATCCTTTATAGAAAAGCAAAAGCAATACGGGTTAAGGGCGTCCCAAAAGCATGGAAATCACCCACCCGACTGGAAAAGGGAAAAGATGGAGACGTTAACGAAACCAGTCGTGTCCATAGCAGTCAGCGCCAAGGCATGTGCTCAGCGACTCCGAAAGAGAGACGAAGGAAGGACGGGCTTCGCGACTCAATGAACGGGCGCTGCAGCTGGCTGCGCGCCGAGGCTGATCTGGCTGCTATGGGCAGAGGTCTCGGAATCGAGGTTGGCACTAGCCCCGCTGTCACCACTCTCCGCGCTGGCGCTCGCACTTCCTGTCAGACTTCTATGCTTGGGAGTGCCCTTGGCGGGATACGGTTTGCTCACCCCAATTTGTTGTTCAACCTGCTGCGGACCTACCGCATTGCCATGCCCAGGAGGATGGCGAGGGACTGGCGCTCGCATGTGTCCCGGAGGCGACGGGTGGCCGCCGTTCGGAGGCCCATGAGGTGGGCCAAAGTTCTGGTCTTGGGCAGTCGCCGGGCGGCCCATTCGCGGACCAGGAGGACCACCAAAAGGAGCGGCAGGAGAATGGCTATTCCTCCTGCTTTGCGGGTACGGATGAGGAGGGTAGTCGCCCATTCGGCTGGTAGTCATCGAGTTGGTCCGGGAACCAGCAGCCATTTGGTTTCGGTCAACAGACCCGTACCGGTTCGACGAGTAAGCCATCATAGGGTTGTCTAGGAGAGAGTCATGGAGGCCAGGAATTTCCTGCATGATACGGTCACTGGCGCGCTTCCTGTTTCCTCCAAAGTAGCGGCTGAACGTCCCTGTTCTACCACCGCCGCCACCACCCGGGCCAGTGCTCGAAAGGAGCTCGGGGTTCTTGCGGATCTGACTAGCACTGGGAAATTTCTTTGTCCTCTTTGATGTGATACTAAGCATATCAACGTTGTCGGGGTCGATCTGGGGAACCAAGCTAGTATCCATGGGATCGAAGTAATCATCCTCGTCCTCCTCATCGAAAGAAGCCGCCTTGGAAGGCGGAGGTCTGCGGGGACCACGACGCATATGCATCTCTTGCTCTCGAAGTTGCAACTCCCGCTGGCGAATGGCCAGCTCGCGTTCTCTCAGAGCCAGTCCAGATGGTCCGGGGCCTGGCGGAACGTCCGGATAACCATTAGCACCATTTGCAGGCATACCCTGATCACCCGCATCATCATAAACGACCAGATGACTGAACTCCTCAAGGCCTTCCAGAGACGGTTCACGAGGCATCCTAGGCCCGCCAGCCGGGGGCTGAGCGCTTGGTGGTCGCGACATTCCAGGCATCGGAGGTCCACGTCTCGGTGGGGGCATCATCATGGCGGAACTCGACCGTCCGGGAGGCGGGCGCATAGGACCATTTCTGGGGGGAGGAACCGAAGACACCCGGGGCGGAGGCTGAGCCAGGGCCGGAGGGGGAGAGTCACGAGGTTTGCTCAGATTAGTGGCATTGATATGGTGCAGCATTGCATAGAGGGTCTCGACGCGTGGGAGTTTGACATTGGACTCCGTTGCCAATTTGATGGGAGAACCGAGATACGTCTCAATCTCCATGGGACGCCGAGCCTGGAAATCCTGGTACATAGTGTTTGGTGTCTGGATGGTCGTCATTTTCTCCATGGTCTTTTGGTTAAAGTCGCTAGGAAAAGAGCAACCGTGTGCTTTCGCCAAATCGAGGAGTTCGTCGATCACGTCCGATATCAGCTGACGCACGCCGACTTTTTCTAATAATTGCTGTACATTTCCAGAATCAAACATAACGCTGGCGGGGTAGAAGGCGATAGGACTAGAAATGTAGTAGTTAGCAAAAGCCCGATATTCTTGTAGGCATACAGGAGGATAATTCACCCTATAATACGCTCAAACTGTTCTTGTCTGATATTCTTCGATACTTTGCAATCCACCTGGCCCGAACTCAGAGTCATCGCTAGCGCCGCAGCCATATCGGTCTGGATGGAAGAGGGAACGTTGGAGTTCTGATTCGTGGCACCGACCCATATTTCCGATGAGTTCAGGTGCTCAAACTCGCTGGCTCCGATCTGAGTGATTTCGACGCCTGATACAAGCGAAAGAACGACGTTTGTCGGGAACCGTTGTTCCAAATGCGATTCGACACCGAGGGTGTTGGTTGTGTTGACCAAGATGCAGGTGTGCTGAGGGGTCACAACGGACTCTATTACCGCGGCCAGGTCATAGACATCGGGCAGAGCCTTGACGCAGAGGATTACATAGTCGTAAGCGTTCTCTCGTGATGCTGCTTCTTCGGGCGTCCGAACAACTATCGTATGATTGTAATCAGCACACGAGCGACGGATGTGTGACAAAGGGACAGAACTCACCATGGCGTGGCTTAAACCGTTCATTTCCAAACGCTTTCGACCTAATTATTCCCCGTCAGAACCTTGCCATGTTATGAGAATGAGCGACCAGCCATACTTGAAAGACACGCCGTATTGAGAAACTGCCTCGTAGCCCGATTTCCAGACCAGTGTCACGTCGCAGGAGGTTGTCGCCTGGAGCCTCCAGGAAAGGAACGCCGAGATGGCATTGCTGCCCACTAAACAGACCCTCGTTAGCAGACGACCCATGATAATGTCTGAATTTGACGTAGTCTAGGAGTCTCTTGGATGGCAGCGACCGAGTGGACCAGCAAATCATCCAAGAAAAAGGGTTGTCGGGAAATGACGATAGATGGTGTGGTTTTCTGGGCAGCGGCTGAGCACTAACCTGACAGAATGCGCAAGCGCGGCGGAGGAGCCATGATAGTCGATCAAAATGGGAAAGAAGCGATCCGATCAGCCAGTACGCGGTGGTTGTGGAAAAAAGCAATGGACCGTTAGACTGGAATTAGGTATCTCCTGAACCACAACTAGAGGCGCGATTGACGCTGCCTAACCACGGAACGAAGGGACGCAATCCGACGACGACTGAAGCCAGGGTTGATGTCGAGATCGATCTAATAAAGGACACACGCGAAAGGCGCCAAGGACGACGATAACGAAAGTAAGGGGAATCACAAAAGGAAGACTTGACAATAGAAAGGGAGATTCAAATAAAGACAAACGAAAGGAGGTATGGTTCAACCGTAGGAAGGGAGTGGAAAGTAAGTAAGAGAGAGAGAGGCGAGGGAGGGAGGGAGGAGGAGGGGGGGTGAGAAGGTGAAAGGGGAAGAGGAGGAGGAGGAGTAGGAGTAGCAAGTCAGTAGGGAAGAGAGAGAGAGCGAAGGTAGCGAAAGAGAGAGAGAGAGAGAGAGAGGATAGGATGGGATGGCAGATGGCGGATGGCGGATGGTTGGAGTAAGAAGCAAGATGGAAGACGGTCAGCTTTGGGCGGAAAGGCAGCCCGAATGGGTGAGTTATGGAGCCGTGCGTATCTTTTTCTGTAATTTTTTTTTAGCTTTCACGGTTTATCTTAATTTTTCTTTTTTTTTTTTCTCTTTTTTTAATTTTCTATTTTTCTCTGTTGGTTTTCCAAAGTCTCTAACGGCCGTGGATCCCCCGCCAGGGCTCGATCCGGAAACGGAGGCAGGAAAAGAGGCGGACTGAGCAACAACTGTCAACGGAGAGGGGAACCCGGATTTTGCATGCGAAAGCAGAAAGTCTGACTGATGGTCCGAAAGGAATGTCCCAAGAATATCGAGCCCCTCCAAAACGGGATGCCAATAGGAAGATGAGGGAGGGAAAAGAGTGTGAGAGGGAAAGATTGCGCGACCAAAAAAAGCCCCAATAATCTCGATGGTCTTAATCGGCCACCGGGGGGAGGGGATACTAATTGTAGACTAACTAATTAACGATCGGAAAGAAGAAGACCGTGTGCAATGGAATATGACTAGGATAGGTAGGATTATTATTAGTTTGACTCGGAATTATGTATGGAATTTTGATTATTAGAAGAGTGTACTATTATAATAAGATGATTGTCCCCCCTCATCAAGCCAGCCATCGACTAGATCATTTGTACCAGACAAATTGGTATAGCAATAGTAACGATAA